GTGGCATCACAGCTCACAGCAACCTCCCACTCCTGGGCTCAAACAAGTCTCCTGCCTCAGCCTCCCAAGTAGCTGGGACTACAGGTGCCCGCCACAATGCCCAGCTATTTTTTGGTTGCAGCTGTCATTGTTGTTTGGTGGGCCTGCGCTGGATTCGAACCCACCACCTTAGGTGTATGTGGCTGGCGCCTTTGCCACTTGAGCCACAGGCACCGAGCTCACACACTGGTTCTGATGTTTAAGACGTCTTGACTGGAAGCCCAGTAAGTTTTCACTGTGTTGTCTCAACCTCTGAGCGCTGGCTTTGTACACAGCTTCCCAGCTGTGTCCCACAGAGGACTCCCCACTCCTGCACAGATCAAAGACAGCCTGATAGGCTACTTTACACACTTAGTTTATGTTAATTCTTATCCCAAAGTCACAACACTGTGAGGAGGCAAATGACAGGGACTTTTTAAAGCCCTACAGAGTGTCCTTTCTAGTTCACGATTCACACTTGTGCCACTACTGCATCAGATCAGTCCTGCGTGCTATTATCAACTAAATCTCTACTTGATCTTGCCAGTAGTTCAAAATCAATCCTTCGCGGCTTTCTCTGACCCCAGCAGAGCCCAGCCTGCAAAGATTAGCTTCAGACTTCAGCCTCAGCTCTTTCTACCTACCTCATGCAAAAGGAGAGTGGGGCCGGACTATTACTTACCTCTCCCCTTGGTTCCTGTCTCCTCCCACATCATCTTCCTCTCACTTTCTTGGCTTTCTGGAGCCTGCCCATGCCTCATGTCACCACTACTTTTGACGTCTGCTCCAATAGGGTCACCACAGCCCCCATGTCACAGAACTCCTTCCCTCCCCGCCTTCACCCAGAGCACCTTCTGAGACTATTCCATTCATCCATTCAGCAAAACCAGAAGGTCCTGAGCCTGCTCCCCATGTGCCCAGTATTGGAATTCCGAAGTGCAATGCAAAACAGCCGGGCATGTGGTTTACCTGTCTTCCCTACAGAGTCCCAGGGTCCCTGGGGCATTTAATTAAGAGTATCTTTGCATACCCTAGGTGCTAAATAAACATGAAAAGAATGAGTTGCTACTTCGTATAAGTAATATTTATATCACTTATAATCATTCTGCAGAAGAAGCAAAAATTTCATGATAACCACAAGGTCATAATTACCACAAAGCAACATCCATGAAGGCTGCCCTTAACCCATGGAATACCTTTCGTAGCCACATAAATATTTTCTATTCCTTCCTTCCTTTTTTCATTAAAGACAGGGTCTCACCTTATTGCCCAGACATGTGAGGGCAATGGGCATGATCATAGCTCACTGCAGCCTCAAATTCCTAAGCTCAAGAGCGGCACCTGTGGCTCAAAGGAGTAAGACACGGGCCCCATATACCAAAAGTGGTGGGTTCAAACCCAGCCCCAAGCAAAAAAAAAAAAATTTCCTAAGCTCAAGTGATCCTCCTGCCTCAGTCTCCAAAGTAGCAGGGACTATAGGCACCGGCCACCACACCTGGTTAATTTTAGTACATTTTTATAGAGACGGGATCTTGCTATGTTGCTCAGGCTTGTCTCCAATTCCTGGCCTCAAGTAATCCTCCTGCCTTGGCCTCCCAAAGTGTTAGGATTACAGGCATGAGCCGCGGAGCCTGGCTATGTATTTCCTATTTCATGTGAGTTCAATGGCAAATATATTTTCACCTT